AGGGTTATGAAGGTGAAAGGTCTAAACAGGTGTTAGCTTCAAGCTAGCAAGCAACAACACTGTCTCATGTAGGCTATAGGTCTATGAATGAACTCACCAAAGTCTCTGGATCCAGTCTTTCTCTTGTGTCCTCTTGTCTCAGTATGAAGCAGCTCTATAAACCAACACGCTACGTTTGACGTTTTGCTCAAGATGAAGCATATTTAACAAGCTAAACCTGCGTTTCCAAAAACTATTTGCAACTGCTGTCTCTAAAAACTTAAAACACATAGGCTACAATTATATTTCGATCTGGCTGTAGGATCACTGTTGGTTACACATGTGTTGTATGGTTTGTGACAAACCATACTTACATCATGGTTAGATTATACCCAACGTGTAACACGGTTATCATACTACTTGAGTGTTGCAGTTTCAACAGTCAACAGCCATGCTAAAGGTTCTGTGAGGCTATGAGCTAAATGCTAACGTCGTCGTCATGCTAACAGAGACGTAGCTAACGTGCTAACAATGTTTATTAATATCGGTGTGATGTTTACCACGTTCACCATCCTAGTTTAATGTGTTAGAATCTTCTACAATACTTTGAACGTGGGCCTACAGCTGATGCTCAAAGGAATGTCATGAGTTTGCAGATTTTTAAGTAGCCTATAAACTAGGCCTATATTACATTTGATGAATTTTGATGGTGGAAGTAGGCTACATAAAAACATGTTTTTTTAAATAATTTTGTTATCTCTTTGTCTCATGATAATCCATTCAATAGAAATATCCAACCCAGTCTCACGGCATTTCGTGTTATTGTCACGACATTTAATCTATTGATTCGTGTTCACCAACACGATTTTCACCTTTTTTTCGTGTCACACAGAACGATTTTAAAAGCAATGTATTTCTATTGGTAGTAGGCTATGTTTCGTGCCTGCAACACGTATTTTTGTCCGGTCGGGTCTTGGAAGACCGGAAGCTGTGGGGTTCATAAAAACATGTTCTTACTCACTATCAAGCCACGATTATTGTTTTTATTTTAAATCGTATAATGTTGGACTTTTTTTGCCATATGTGAGGAAAAGAAATGGGGCTCAGAGCCTCAGAATACTGAAATCTGTATTTTTTAAATCTTTTTTTCCTTCTAATTTGTTATTCTTTTCTAAATAACACACTGTTATTTACTCAACAATAACACACAATTATCCATGTTTTTATTTATTTGTTTAATTCCATAATCTCTGGCTTTTTTGGCGTCCGCCAGGAACTGAATTTCAAAATAAAAATAACCGGAAACAGATGTAGGCCTATATGGGATATTTCGAGCATCATTGCGATACACGGGGGGTGTTTCTCAATCGCGAGTACGCTTGCTTGGTAGCACATGTCTGCCGAGCATCTTGCTTCAGAAGCGAGGCAAGAATACTTCCTGGCATTCGGAAAATGAAGAGTGGAACACGCTAGCAAGTGTGCAGGTGTGCGTCATATGAGAGGCCCCGCCTTACATTTTCCGCCACAGATTTGGGGAAATTGGTCCGAAACACCCAGAGGCCGTTTCTCAATCGCGAGGATATTGGCTTCCAAGCCAATATTTCAAGGATGCTACATCATCAAGTGGCGCAGCAGGACCGTTCCAATGTCCAGCATACTTGGAATTCCACCGAGGCCGCGTCCTTGGTTTGGGGGAAATTTCGAGGCTGCACATGGGTAGACTTTGCGTCCTTAAAATCCCCACAATGCTTTGCGCACGGACCAATTTCCCCAAATCTGTGGCGGAAAATGTAAGGCGGGGCCTCTCATATGACGCAGACCTGCACACTTGCTAGCCTGTTCCACTCTTCGTTTTCCGAATGCCAGGAAGGATTCTTGCCTAGCTTCTGAAGGAAGTGACTCGGAAGACATGTGCTACCAAAGCTGCTCCAGAGCCACTAGGCTTGTTTGAGATGAGCTGCGTCTCGCCTCAAAAGTAGACGAGAATAGCCGATTGCAGCCGGGGGCGGTCTCCAAAAGCTTGTCTGAAGTCGGACAGCTCGGAGTCGGCTTGACTCGGTTTGCAAAGGCGGAAATTGCGCTGGCGTTCTTCGTTGCAGATTAAGTGGATGCAATAGAAATCCCACAGTTATTATATCACTACAAATGAATGACTCAATTGTCTGTTCATTTTTAAACAAATCAATACAAGGGGGGTTGAATCCTACATGTAAAAGACAGAACCACTTATTACTGTTCAAAACTACTTCCGTCAGTGGTCTTGACCAGTTTGCATTTATAAAGAATGCACAAATATGTTTAATCGTTAATGTCAGATGTACTGTAGGCCTACTAAGTAAATACATTTGTTCCTGCTCAAGATTAGATTCAACTTTATTGTTATTGCACAGATTACAGGTACTGAGACAACGAAATGCAGTTTAGCTTCTAACCAGGAGTGCAAAAAGCAGTAAAGTGAAAAGTAATGTACACAATCTACAGAATAAAATATAGAATTAATTGAATGATGAATAAACAGTGAGGGGTATGAATACACTAGATATACACAGCAGCCTGTGAGCAGTATTAAAAGTGTGTATGAATATGCTAAGATATATAAAGTATGAAAACGGTAAGTAGTGCAAGTATAGTATAAAATATATAGATATTAATTTCATGATGATAAACATTGTGGAACAATGATGAAAAATGTGAATGGAAGTGGCGATGTAAAACTGACACTAAACAACAACAAACTTTTGCGGAGCCAATTGGAGAGTTTCATCACCAGCACGCGGCAAAAACCACCAATGAGCGTTCAGCTCGATATACCAGCGAGTCGTTTCCCATCAAGCATTTAGCTTCTGCAGCTCGTGGAGAGAAACTGCGCCGCCTCGCTCTCAAGGCTGCCGGCGTCTTTGTCCCGCGAGATTTCAACGTCTCATGTAGTCGAGCCTTCAGAGCAAGTCGGACAAAATGACTAACCGGGTGTTTCTCAATCGCGAGTACGCTTGGTAGCACATGTCTGCCGAGCATCTTGCTTCAGAAGCGAGGCAAGAATACTTCCTGGCATTCGGAAAACGAAGAGTGGATCACGCTAGCAAGTGTGCAGGTGTGCGTCATATGAGAGGCCCCGTCTTACATTTTCCGCCACAGATTTGTGGAAATTGATCCGTGCGGAAAGCATTGTGGGGATTTTAAGACCGCAGAGTCTACACATGTGCAGCCTCGAAATTTCTCCTAACGAAGTACGCCGGGCTCGGTAGATTTCCAAGTATGCTGGAGATTGGAACAGTACTTCGGCGGCACTCGATGACGTAGTATGCTTGAAATAGTGGCTCTGCAGCAGCTTTACTCGCGATTGAGAAACACCCACCATCATGCAACGCACTAGCAAGACGGCGATCACAATTGCGCAGGTCTGCGTCGGTCTCGCTCGTCTCAAACAAGCCTACTATTTCAAGCATACTACGTCATCGAGTGCCGCCGAAGTACTGTTCCAATGTCCAGCATACTTGGAATTCTACCGAGCCCGGCATACTTCGTTTGGAGAAATTTCGAGGCTGCACATGTGTAGACTCCGCGGTCTTAAAATCCCCACAATGCTTTGCGCATGGACCAATTTCCCCAAATCTGTGGCGGAAAATGTAAGGCGGGGCCTCTCATATGACGCACACCTGCACACTTGCTCGCCTGTTCCACTCTTTGTTTTCCGAATGCCAGGAAGTATTCTTGCCTCGCTTCTGAAGCAAGACGCTCGGAAGACATGTGCTACCAAGCAAGCGTACTCGACATTGAGAAACACCCACAGCCACTGAACTGATTACCCAAGATCCTCAGCTATGGTTTAAGCTCGGTTTGGATTGGATGTTTTAGCCGCAATGCACGTTGGGATATGGTGTTAATGTAATATGAAATCCGAAAAACATTTCGGAGTTTAGGATGGCCGAAGACACTACACTACCCATAATCCCCAGCTATCGTTTGGGACTACAGTCCCCGTGATTAATCTTCAAGCTCTGGGATTGGATGTTGGAGTGGCAGTGCGCCAAGGTTACGCCGAGCGTCAAACAGCTCTTTGAAATGGAACAAAACCACGGCAGACTATCCAAAACTGGATTCGAACGGGACCAGCAGATTCTGATTAATGATGTGAAATATAAACAACCCTTAAATCAGACTTTAGTTACACCTGAGTAAAATTCAGGGAAGGTGATTGTCAAGTGCCAACAATCAGGCGAGATATTTGATAGTTGGTGCTTGAGAAGACTAAACATTTATCTGCAGATCCCTATAAAGTATATTCATTACTCGTTATTCTCTACTAATAGTTAATTAAAGACTGTATATAATGGCTATTTTGCACATCCCTTTCAAGATTTCGAGATTTTCTAAGGTTTATTGACATATCATATACACAACTACGGTGTAGTTATGCAATGAATGAAAAACTTGGGTCGCCGGTTCCTCAACAGTAAAGAAAATGTCAGTCTTGACAAAAGGGGTGGACGGACCAGCCCTTAATGTCCATTGACAGAAGAGCTTTTTGAGACGTTTCTGAAAACAAATTGTCACCCAGGTTTTGGAAATAAAAAGTAACCAACCATGTTATGTACCAGAATTAAGACAAATAGGATTAGATTGATCTTGTGTAATCAGAGGCGGATGGTAATTATTATGGATGGGCTATTGAACCCATGGATGTCTAAAGAGAATGAGAGAAAGAGGTTGAACCATGAGCAAATGTGCAAGACTCAACAGAGACAATTCAAGCTTTTGAAGGTTTTTACTGATGTTTATTAGGTGCTTTGTTCATCCACACTGTTGCAAAGTGTTTATATCTAATGATAAGAGTAATTATAAAGTGCTTGTTCTTCAACTGTGTTTGACAAACACATTTGAATACTGTTTCTTGGATCAGGATTTAATTAATTTTTTTACCTGATTGTCTTTAATGAGATAAAAAGCTTTTTATCAAATGAAAAGTAACAAAACTCAGGCAGGAAGACAGCAGATGAAAATTAATAAATAATTTATTTTTACAGAGTGGAATTGTGTGGAAGTGTGAGCATGTGCATCATGCTGCCTTTAAAATACATGGCTTTCCCGTAACATGTATTTATTTGATGCATAACCATTTCAATATTAAACAAAAGCATATCATATTTACAAAAACTGAATGGAAATCAAGAACAAAACGCTTGACTTAACTATATATCATACACTTTCATAATGAATAAAACAAGAAAGCAATAAAATGTTCAAGATACCTCATGATTTGAGAGAAATACCTGGTCACCATGTTTAAAAGTAGATGAGCTGTGCGTTGTTTAGATGCTGATGTTACAACTGAAGGTGTATAATGTCTGAAACAAGAGAAAGTTATAAGTTATGAGTGGATTTTGTGAAAAAATAACCATTTCATCCTCTAGAAATACAATTTAAATGTCATCCTCCATCTTTAATTTGTACACTAGTTCAATACTTTGGTTGGATGCACACGGACAAAGAATAAACATTTGTAAGTGCAGCCATGATCATTGATTAGACCCCTGACTCTCTGCTAATGTATAAAGGTAGGGTAGGCTGTAGTCTGTCAAGGCTGATCTGATTCTCCGTGTCCAGAACACACAGCATCTCCACCTTCTGCTCCTCCACAAATGTCTCTTTGAAACCCAAATGAATGTCCTCTCTTTCACTTCTGATGTTCAGGCTCCCTGCCTCCTCTTTCACATTCTCCTCATCCTCGTCATCCCCGCAGCACAAAGCTACCTCGTTCTCGTAGCAGAAAGCGCTGGGGGAGTGTGGGCCCATGAGGTGGCGGGCTGCCCTCTTTGTAAATGGTGATGGAGACCTGGAGTAACTCGAGCTGGAGGATGAGGATTGCCCGCCACGGCCCTTCATCTGACTCAGTTCCTTGGCACTGCAGTGAGGTGTAGATGGCACTTCGTAGGACTTGTGAAAACGGGAATAGTCCACGTGGTAGCGTGCACCCTTCTCAAATACCACAGGCTCAAAGCGGTGACCCCACAGGACCTCCTTGGACAAGTAGGAGCTCCGGGCTTGTGTGGTCATAGCTGTGGCCTCCACCATCCCCTCCAGGATGACCACAATCTCAAACTCTTCCTTGAGCAAGTCGGCGCGGCTCATGTTATACAGAGGACTGTTCTCGTTGATCTCGTGGACCACAACCAGTGGCGATACCAGGAACAGCCGATCCAGCCCGTCATCATAGCCAACATCAATGTCTGTTTGTTCCAAAGGGAGATACTCGCCCTCGGCCGTCACATGTGGCCTAATGAGCTGAGCACGCACATGTGCTTCGACAATGTGGCTCTTGCGCATGTTCCCTAGGCGCCACATGAGGCACAGCTTACCGTCTCTCATAGAAATGACGGCATAATGCGAAAACAGCAAGGTCTGTGCCCGCTTCTTGGGCCGCACCATCTTTGCCATGATGGTGCCAATCATGAAAGAGTCAATAATGCAGCCCACAATCGACTGGACCACAACGGTCACAACAGCAACTGGGCACTCTTCAGTGACACATCGGAAACCATATCCAATGGTGGTCTGAGTCTCTATCGAGAATAGGAATGCTCCAATGAACCCCTGGATGTGGAGAATACATGGCCGCCATTCGCCTTCTCCGTTGCTTTGAGTATCCCCTTCCTCCAAAGGAATATGAAGATTAAAGTCTCCATGAATTAGTGCCACTCCCCAGAAAACCACGCCAAACAACAGCCAAGAAAGAAGGAAAGTGGTAGTGAAAATGAGCAGAAGATAACGCCAGCGTATGTCCACACAGGTAGTGAAAATGTCAGCCAGGTATCGTCGTGGCTTACCCTCCATGTTGTTGAATACCACATTGCACTGGCCGTTCTTCTTCACAAAGCGGCTGCGCAGGCGGCCAGAGCCCAGATCAAGACCGAGATGACATGAAGGTGAAGCTCGGCAGCTGCTGTGGATGATGGGCTCATTTGTCACTCTCAAAGACAAAGCTCCTCTTCCCTCGTTCCCTCCTGGACAATCTCCTCCTCCTTCCTCACCCCGCATACAGGTTCCAGACAGTATCTGCTGATTCAGAGGACTGTGGCCGTTGTGGAGGCCCAGGCTGGAGATCTTCAGGACATCTTCATCTGTGGCAACGATGCTGTATCTGGAAGAACAGAGGGGAGAAAATTAGTCCAGGACAACTGACAGTTGTACACGATAAAAAGTTGGCTACTGTTGCAACCACTGTCAAACACTCTGCTCTTTAAGTGCCATAAGGGAAAAATGTAAGACTGGCAGTTCTGGCCAGTTAATTGCTTTTACCTATTTACCCGCACCGCTCCCATGGCACCGGTGATCATCAGGCTGTGTCTGCGAGGGCAGTAATGTAGGTTGGGGCGGGCAGTTCCAACCATTAAAGTATTGTTGCTGGACAGGGAGGCAGTATGAGCTCAGGTCTGACTCGCATCCGTTATCAGCGCTGCTTTCTCATGATACATTTTCTGTGAAGAAAGAAGACAAAAAACAGATTTCTTAAATAATTACAAGGGTAAAGGTCAACAAAGTATACATGTTTAACAAAGATGGTTAATTCCTGAGCAACAAGGCTAGAAGATAACAGCTCTGTGAGGCCATACTCACACAGTGGTGCTTTGATCTATATGCTAATGTCAACAGGCTAACAATGCTCATAATGACAATGTGTAAATGCTAACAGTGGAAGCTGGTGCTCACAATAATCTACTTTGTTTAGCATGTTACTTTGCTAATATTTTGCGGATCATCCACTAGTTGTTGAGCTATTTGAGTCTGGACCAAAGCAGGGGACCAAACGTAATCGGCATGCATAGTGCCATCCCCCTATAGCATGGCGAAAAATCTAAAGAATCAAATCTCTATGCAAATGTTGGCCTTTCCCTAATGCATGGAGCAGACCAGACAGTTTTGTGAAATGAAAGCTTATTGATCAGGTCCTCACCAGTGGTTAGCCTTAGGGACCTTCAGGGCAACCAGTGGTGGAAAACCAGACAGGCAGTGGAAGGGACAAAGGTCTAAAAAGAGATGAATCCGTGGTAATCTACTGTTAGAGGAACAATTGATCTGCGGTTTGGCCCGATGACAAGGTTGGAGGGTGATTATTATGTCAGCAAGCCGGGAACTAGAAGAACCAAAAAGCAACGGGTTGCATAACCTAGAGCAGGCTAATCACACGCAATAAAAGTGGGGCTACAGTGTTTTTTTATTTTATTGTCAATCACTTTTGCTGATTTATATTAGTTGATAAGAATGGATTGTTTAATGGATTGTCTTGGGAAAATATCACGAAAAACAATGGCCTTAAGCCTTTCATTAACATCAAGCATGTACATAGTGAAACACTAAAACACATTTTGACGGGATTTGATGTCATGTGATGTGGGTCATGTGCAATCCTTGTGTGTTATGCTTCAAGACTCTTTTTCCTGTTACACCAAGGACAGATGTCAGGAACTGGCAGATTATTGGCTGGATTAAGAGTGATTCCGACTGGATAATCCCAAAAGGGCAGATGATTATGTCATCTTGATAACTCCCACAGCTGCGGAGGAGCGTGTCCTCCACGTAAAGTCACAACCTTTACTTCAGAATCCTTAAAAATGGCAGCTAATATTGTCAAAGTAGGTCAGTGCCATATCAATGCCTGCAGCATCATGTGTGAAATCAGGACAACACAACACAGTTTACATGTTGGTCTGTTGGATTTACAATGGGGACACGAGTGAAAGACTGCACTGTTCTGGTGTAGTTCAAAGGAATGTTGCTTTGTATTTTATTTTACATTATTGGAGAAGATCACCCTGTGGTTTTAACATCGGTTAGTGCTGTATCTTGTGTTTTTTGTCTCAAAATGTTTTCATTTTATTAAACAAAGCATTGCGAAGCTCCCAAAGACAGGACACTAGCAGTACTGCCTTTGTAAAGCTAACCATAATGATCAATTGTCCTTAAAATGTCAGAGAGCTGTTATTTCAACTGTGTTTTTGTCTACATGTTGGTCAAAATACTTGAGACGCCCGGTTATACTAGAAGAGCACTTGGAGAGCACAGACCTCCAAAACCAAATACCCTGTTTTGCAATTTTAACTAAAATGAAAAATAAATTCGCTCCATAGTTTTCTGGTTGCAAACAAAGAAAACTGAAACCTAAAATTTGGCAAAGATAATAATGCAGTATGATAGTAAAGTGCTGTTGCCATGACGACAACCATGTTTACAGTGTAACAGAATATTACACAAACTATAAAAACTACAAAGACAACACCAACCACTCAATGTCCAATAACTGGCTTGGCTATTGGGTGCACGTGGATGAAAAAAAGTCGTTAAGTGCTAGGGGTGAAACATGGTGTCTTGATAGATATCAAGATATGTATATTCTTAAAACTGAGCAAAACGACTCTATGTTGCACAACCATAACACTGATCCATTTTAAATCTTCATGTTATTGTTTTATCTGTGACACGTGAACTACCCTAATCAATATTCTTTGCATGCCTCTGCAGTGAATCATGCTCATTTAACTGGCTTTGTTTACATTATAATGTAAAGAGTTTAAAACCAACAAGCTGCCAGTATGTGAAGGCTTAGTAGCTACATTTTCATGTAGATTGTGGCTTTGAATGCTTTCTTTTATAAATGCTGCTGAGTGTACATTTTCTTAAATGAATCTGCCAAAAGTGTACATGCATAATTCCCTTTATGTCTAACAAACATAAAACACCGTCAATACTTCATTACTGTGTCTAATGCGGCTACCTGTTGTCAGTAAATGCCTGAAAGATGTCTTTAGTTCTCAGCGGATGGGATCCCTGGGGGGACAATGGCAGTAATTATACTGTGGATCATATCTACTGTATTATCCGTCTCCATAGGAACATCCTCTCACTATAGAGCTCTGCGTGTGTGGTGATTGTACATCATGTGAGACAACTTGTGAGAAGAGGATGGAAGGGGAGGTAGGCAGAGAAATAGGCCTTTACCTTAAAGGAATACTTCACCCCAAAATATACCTTATGATGTGTATCCATTTCTCAGCCTTTTTTCTCACTCGACTGTGAACAGAAAATCAAAAAAAATGAGGAAATTCCTGATTAATTTAAATTAATGGGGGCAATACTATATCATAACATTCATTTAAAAAATAACAATTTACATGTTACAGTTAAATAAGTGACAAAAACCTGCATAATGCCACAGAGCTCTCCAGATTAAGGTCCTCATTCTTATGCAGCAGGTTGAAGACTCTGACGTAGCTCCTGTTTAGGTACGTCAGAGGAACTAAATTGACATACAGTATATTACAGCATAATCCCATACAAAGAATGGAGGAAGACCAGATTATTATGTCCCTAATCTCACAATCCAAACAACAATATGAAAGGTGGATAGTAGTTGCTGTGTGACCCGGTTTAAGACCTTTTGTGTAATCTGAGATCTAATGATATGAGAAGGGAGGGAGGGATAAGGAGAGCCAGAAAGAAATGTTAGCGGCTCTTCCGCATTGGACTGAGTGTGAGAAAGAAAATACAGATTAGGTTGAAGAGATTATGACGTCAGTTGATGTTACAAAAACGTGTAATGCCATTTACGGACAATAGAAGATTTACACACATGAAGGTAAATCTATATCTAAAAGACAATGGAATTTGTGAGTGATCCACATTTGCCTTTTCTCTCTTTTTCTGTCTCTCTGTACAACAATCTTTCTTTAAACTGACATTTAAGAAGGGCCTACATCTCCCTACGGACAACCGTGGGTCCACACACTGTCCTCAGTCCCACAGAGAAGCAGAAATAGAAACATGTACTTTTTTTATTTTACCTACACGACTACATGAAATAATACTAAATCAGCAATACACAGAATCCCATTTGTTTAACATCACGAGGCAAAATGAATTACAATGCAGTGGCTGTATGTCATTAAATAATGTTCTGTACTTGAGTATTTTTATTTTCTTATACTTTATACTTCTGTTGCACTGAATTTCACATGCAAATATTACATTTTTTACACTATGAGTTAAACAGATTTAAACTTTAAAAGTGAAACATTGGTTCATTTTTTATCAAATGACCCAAAACTATATCCTTAAAATGCTGCCTGCATAGACAATCATTTTCCTTTATTCCGATTTTTTTTTTATAATGAATACTTTTTATTTATTTATGATACAAAATCTATTTCTGTGGTTCTCCTCCTAAACTAAGTTTTGTGTAGGAAAAAGTAAGACAGACAAATATTTGTTTACTTCTGCCTTACAAATCTGCTTAAACTAATTCATACTTCTATTGTAGTGAAACTTTGAAAACATTTTTCAAAGGTGCAACAAATCAATCAGTCTGATGGGAGGTATTCTTCACACACTGTGAGTGTGAGTCATACATTGTTGCCTCAGTCCCAACATGTGTATTAATTGACTGAATTTAAAATGATATAAGTTTCCATCTTTGCACATGCATCACTGTTGCAGGATATCTTAAAAGCCAATCGATGGTTAACACAGTGCAACCAGAAGTTATGACGGGGCAGTTTGCAAACTAAGCAGCAGCTGTGACGTGTGTTGGTCTCATTGAGGCCACAGGAGCTGTCCAGTGCTGGAAATCAATCCAAAGCCTGCAGGAATAATCGACAGCTTGGAGCCGAGCGGTGGGGGAGCAGAGTACTACTCTAACCTTGAAAATAATGTTGGCCTTTAAAAATCTTTTCATCTATCTGTTTACATTTCCCACATTTGTTAAGGTTGGCTTACTCAGTCAGTGCTTTATTTCAGTATATGTGTTTTTCTAAGTTTTAACTTTGTTTGACAGAACAGGGACAGACAAACTTTCGCAGGAGTTACTGAGTTGGAAGTTTCTGACCACCTTCTTTTATATGCAGTTTTGAAATTGTGGGATTTAAAATGGAGTCAGGAAAGTAAACAAGTTACACTTCTTAGTGATAACACAATGCACTAGTAGAATTGTTGGTTTATTCTTTTTTATTATGTTTCTGTGTGTGTTTAATGGACTAAACTGCAACTGTTTTTCTTGCTACCATGCATGCAGAAAGACATCAAATGATCCTTGAAAAATGTTAAATAAAATGCCTCTCCGGGTAAAAAATACTCCCAGCATAGCCAACAGACATTACCGCAAATACAAATATTAGAGAATTAATCTATAAACTCTTACCTTGATGTTGATGCACACAAAATCACTGGAACACTAACATTGGTTTCATCCTCATAACAAGCTTTTTGTTGCCACTCTCCTCTCTTCTTTCCTTCCTTGTTTTTCTTCAATAGACAAACGTATTTTGTATAAATCTGCTAGATTTCTGTGGCACAAACTTGTACATGTCTCCAGTCTGAGCTCTGGCTTGTTGCTCCATAGTAGCTGAACGGAGGTGCTCCTGCCTGGTCGTTGTTCATCTGCTCCGATCCCTGCCAGTGTGCGTGTGTGTGTGCGCGTGTGTGGGATAGAGAGAGCGAGAGAGAGAAAGAGAGAGAGGGATAAAGGGATCGCTCTGATTATGTTCCTATTTATATATACATATATATGCTATTGTCTTCCCAAGAGTGAGAGATGTGGATTGTATAATTTAGACTTGAGCCCACTCAAACTTGCATCGACATCCAACAAACACCAGAGAAGATGATCCGACAACATTTCTGCAGAGACTCTGGAGAAGTATTTCTGAGGCATACGGTGTGTTATATGAGCTACAAAATGGGGTTTCTTATAATGCAAAATGATATTATCAAATACGAAAAAAACAAGTCCAATAGTAAGTTCAATGCATGTTAATCTGTTTTTGCACAATATATGAAGATTTGATTTTGATTTGAAAAAAACGAGTGTAAAAAGCTGCATTTCTTTTATCAGAAAGTATAGAGTTGGATGTGTTGCAATACGTTTAACAGCAGGTAAGTCATTTATTATGGATATTCAAACTATTTTAAATGTCTGTAGGTCGCCAAACAACTTAAAATTAAAATAAATTCAGAGGCTTTTTAATCATTTTTACCTATTTCATTTTCCTCCTCACAATGTGGCTATGAATAAAAGTCCAACAGCAGACAATCACGTTCAGGAGAGTGTTTGTCAGTCATAGACAACAGATGATTACATTTGGATGTACATACTCGTTTGTAGTCAATACATTATATACATTTTGGCACAGGAATAACAGCTCATCAGTTTGACTTTAAATGTTATAATGTTTTTTTTTAAGTTAATCGGCGACAGATCACGAGTAGATAATAACTTATTTAGTTGTGAAAACTCAAAGTTAAAGACTTGGATATGCTGGTCTTAATTTGGGCTTATTTTAGGACCTGTGCATTGACTGGGATTGGCTCCAATTCGAACAGTTCTCTACACAATCTTCTCATCAAAAATCTTAAGCCTTTTTACCAACACAATAACAGAATTGTATTCCATAGTGTCAAGTAGAGGATTTCAGGATTTATTATTGTTTTCGTAATAAACAAATTTCTTCCACAGATAACCATGATGAACTAATCGCCAGTCTGCTGAAGATAATCAGAGAGGCGGAAGAGAGTAATTGCTACAATCTCTGCAACTTCCACCAGTTCACTGCTTCCTCCTCCTCGCAGCAAGAACCATATTGTAACAAGTCATGATGGACTGGTTTCAACTCAGCCCTGTGCTGTATAACACAAAAAATTGCATTTGTGACACCTTCACTGGGAGCTTATGTGGAAATGAACTTTCCACTCTGACCTCTCCGCTCAATGTCATCTGTCTCAGACATCATTTTGTGCCAAGGAAGTGATTATGTCATTTCTGATAAACAAAGGTTACATAAGGGTGTTTCGTGTTTACATCCTTTTGCAATTCCTGGAACCTTAATCTGTCAGAAAACTCTGATAATGAGGAATTAAAAACATTTGACCAGGCTGCAAGTCGCAGAGAATATAGAGCTGCAGCGTCGAGTCTATTGACGAATGATGAATAGATGATTTACTGCTCATGTTTGTCATAATATATATTTCCTTTTCATATTGTTTTTCTGAAAAAATGACTGTTTAGGGAACAGTATGCATTATACTTTTACTCATAATAGGGAGAAAGGCTAGTTTTGTTCCAGAGTAGTGTGATCATAACAGATGCATGTGAACAGCTGTCCATATTAACCACAGTAAATACAAGTGAATGGCACTTATCCCTTTGGGCTCTGTGTCAGGGCTGTTAAGATTATTCACAACTTTTATAAACTCAACAATAAATAAGTAGTGAAAATAATCAAAAATTGCGGCTCTAAAATTATCATGGAATAACATACTCTGGGATATGAGATGATATGTGCAGGACTTATGTCCAGCCGATCTTAAAAGCCCTTTATAAAGAGACATTTCCTCTCGGTTGGCAGCCTTTGATTTGTTTTTGTGTGTGTGTGTGTTTGTGTGTGTGTGTGTGTTTGTGTGCGTGTTTGTGCGTGTGTGTGGGATGCTAAATCAATCTGGTGTGCTACCTGTGTGCCAAAATAATCTTTCCTGCTTTAGTTTCTGATAATACATAATCTCTGGAACAGACAGAACTGAAAAATGACTTCAACCTTTTTGTACTTGTTGCAGCACCAGTCTGTGTTAATAAATATAAAAAGGTGTAAATAAATTAAAAGGGACATATTGATTTAGTATGGTAGCGGCTGAGACTGGTTTCTTCTTCAGACCTCTTTGAGGTGTTATTGCCAATTAGACAACTTTTTAGTTTCCATGGAAACCATTTTTTCTCTTCTTTGTGTACTTTCTCTCGCGTATAAATACACTCTCCATCCCCCCACATAGTTTATTTTTATACCGCCTTTTCCTTAAAGATTCATGAGACAACAGGTGGGTGTTGCATTGCGTAGGGGTGGTGTGGGGGTACAGTAATATAGAAGCATTGTGGGCAGGGGTCAGAGGTCAGGGGATTAACTAGGTGGGAATAAGTGGGCTGGCAATAATAACTCCCAGCTGAAGGAACACAGTGTCCTCCGTGCAACACGTCTGAACAAAAGTTGTTACTGATGTGTTGGTGAGGGTAGCACTTCTATGATTCATGTACACAAGTTTTACAATCAAATGAGGTGACACTTACACTTGAGAAATGAATGTGGGTTGCACAAATGATAGTACAATAATGTAAAAAACAATACATTTGACTGCAGATCTGTGTTTCAGCAGGCTTCCTGTGCAGCCACACTTTAAAGGTCAAAGTATCTAATAGAAAAGCCTCTAAATAGAGATTGTTAAGTTGCTAATTGGGACATTTTGAGATAAAGGAAAGACCATCTTACTGCCAACTCGGCCATCTGGGTATAGAAATAGCTCTGATCTTGGTGGCAGTGAGATATTAATGCATTTATGTGGCATATTTAGCTGCAGGCACTCCTGTATTTTGTCTCAATTCGGACTATCCATCACTTCTTCTTATCACAGGTCAAAAGTGCACAGAGACATAAAGACCTACATAATAATTACTCACAGAGCAAACCTTATTAAAGAGGTCAATAACAGAAAGACCCTTAACAATACAGTAAATGACTATTCCCTTTAGTCCATTTTGAACGTGATGAGCCGATAATGTGGGAGCTATTTTCTGTTGTGCGGGCCGTCTCTGTGGCTCTCTTAATGACTCCCCCTCATGTGCCATGTGAGCCAGTTTACTCAGAAGCAGGCGGACGACTCACTTCTCACTGTGAGCACTGATCCAGGTCAATATGTTTTTAGAAAAGCAGGTCGAAGATGGCGAGCAAGGAATGGGGTGAACACATCTACTCTAACTGTAAACCGTGTTGATCTGTACATATAAATACCAACATGCACTTTAATTGTTTTGTGTGTTTGGTTTTTGTACTCACTCACAATCTGTGATTTCTCCTTGAGGCTTTGTGTCACAAAGTGTTGAACATGTTATGAAATTAACAAAGAATACCCCGCACTTGTTGTTGGCAGGTTCAGTTCAAATGGGTGTTGTTACTTTAAATTATTTTAAAAAAAAAGGCTTGCATAACATAAGTATTTTTCTCAACAGACTGTTGTTTTAAATGTGGAAACAATATCGGCGTACTTCAACAACTCTGCACACCATGTTTCTATGTTAAAAACGTTGGAAACATTACACTGAAAGCTACGGGATACATGTAGGAGAGTTTTGTGGAATCATTACATATTAAAGTATAATATGTGTTGGCTTGTTGATCTGACAGTGAAAAAGAGGGTTGAAGTATTTTAGTTCAGAAGGTCTCTCTGAGCAGGAATGCGAGTCACGATCAATACTTGCCCTGGGTGAGGGCGAGGGGTAGGATCAAGGTTAGGGTGTTGGATCAATCTTTGCCCTTTGTTCTGTAATTGCTGATAGGGATTTAATTAATAAACTATTATTGGTTTGATTACAACAGACTTTGTAACAGTATTTGTTTCTTATCAAGTATTTTCATGTGATATGCAGTCTATGGTCTTTTCTAGAGAAAGTGATGCACACAGAGAAACGATCAATAGCATAAAAACCATAAAAGCTGAAAGCTTATCACATGGCATGTGACCTCACGTGTCAATAATTCTCGGAGAGGTGGGCAACATCATTTTCATTGAAGAGACACAGACTGTTATATATCTCAATTAAAAATAAGACTCTTGCACAGGAGGAAAACAGTAAGTTAAATATCAAGAAGTAGCAACATCCCATGTTCCTATGATTTGTCTGCCATGGATCACAAGATTATTCCACTTTTAATATGAATTATACCAAACAATAATATGGCATGGAGGGAAAACAATACAATATTTGACTGCACCAAAAACCCCACTGAGGGTTAAGGATCTGAAAGGAAAAGGCTTGCCTCTCTTTTAAGCATGAAAAGTGACAGTTAAACAAAGTTAATCAATAAAGCTGCAAATTGTAAAAACACAACAGTGAACTAAAAGACGCTAAAACTCAAAGGAGTTCAGAGGAGATGCAGGGTTAATAAAAGAATTAAGCTAATCATAAATAAGAAGCTACTTTAAGACATTCATTAAACTTTTAACTTTCCTGTTTGTTTTAAGTTGTGTCAGCTGAACTTTTCTGCCTGCATTTCCATGGATACTGGCTCCACTCTCTCATTATAGCAACGGCTGCCAGAGGAGCTGAATCGAGCAACAGAGAGCATGAGACTCGCAGCAGAAGACAAAAATAGATTTTCCTTAATTGTCATTTTACTTGCCAAACATGTTTAATTATATTCCCACTTCCTGAAGGCTCATTTGAAAGTGGTGCATGACAAAAATGTGACTTGCGTATGTTCAAGACTCACAAAACTGTAATTAATCATCACAAATGTAGTACATGTTGTATGTTTAACACACACACACACACACAAACACACACACACACACACACACGTACACACAAAT